AAAAAAAAAAAATAATAATAATAATTGCACAAAAATAAAAATAAAAATGTCAAATGCAAATAAATCGCATTCCAGAACTTCTTCTACCAACAAAAGCCAACAATATTAAACAAGCTTCATTGTATAAATAAAATTTCAAAAAGGAAAAACACATCGAATTGGCACAAAAGGAGCTTAAATTGTAATTACAAAAGGGCACAGAGTTTCATCGACTAAAACCAGCAAAAGTGAGATTGTCCAAAAAATGACTAGAGGATTCTTCATCATTGATGACGTACCATCCTTTTTTTAAGCAAGAGATCCCAAAAGGAAGTCCTAAAAAAATGCAACCCAAAATCATCTTCTCTCTTCGGGAAAAATGCCCCAACAATTACATGGGAGGAGACCAATGAGTTTGAAGGAAAGACAGTACGCCAATTCAAAGTAAAAAAACTATTGTCCCAAAATGTACACTGACAAGAAAAGGAAAAAAAGATATTGAGATTCAAAATCCTTAAGAGCCCAAGCATGCATCACCTAACCATCCAACCACAAGGAAAGCATGCTACTTGGAATAAATGCACTTGCCGAGTCTTTTTAGCCCTTCTTCTAATTAGAAGTGCAACGATATATGTTGGACTAGCACCATACATCAAAGACTCCCAACCATTAGGAGCAATTAAAATAAAATAAAAAACTACAAAAATAAATTAAGAATAAAAGAATAAGGGAATTAGAATTCCTCTCACCGATTCTAGAGAGTAAACAGGAACCATCAATATAAGACCAATCAGAAACTTCTGTTCCTGAAAGAGGGAAGGTACTCTGTTAATCACAGAATAGTGCCAAAAGAACTTATAATATGATAGTATCATTTCACAAGTTAATCCAAAGATTAGAAAATGCACAAGCTTATGTACATCCCCTATATTCAGAAGGACAAAGGTGTAAAACTCCAATTAGCTTCACTATTCACACTTCATATTTTTTTCACATCTATGTAACCAGAGTTATCTTTTTTAGTCAGAGAGTAACTGCAGATGATCATCTAGACTAGTAGAAGATATATAGTTAAACGTCAAAATGGAATCCACCAACGTTAATACAATTAGTATGATTGGACGTAGGCATCTTTTCCCACCCAAGCAGTAAAGTTGAAGAGCTCAAACAAGTGACAAGAATTTAACAAAAAGATATAACATAACTAATACTTTGGAATTCCAATCAAATGAAGGAACAAAACAAACCTCTGGTTGATTATAAGAAGCTAAATGCTCAATGATGAGAAACGTGGACAGAATAAGTGCAACAAGAACAAATACGCCAGCACTAAGAATTGTCCAGCTGAAGTTAGGTGCTGCTTCGGTGCTTAGATTCAGCAACCACATCTTTCTTGATCTACTAGAGGATTCCACAATTTTGAATAGAATAAGAAAAGTATAGAAGAACATCCTCCATCCCATCAAGCAAAAATGTTTGAAGAATCTGGTTCAATAAGAATGTGTTTGATTAAAACCAACTTATTAACAAATCTTGCAATGTCTTATTCTACAATTAATTTTTCTCCCAGATTACTACTAATTTGATCTCAGAGAAAAATGGGACAAGCCCTTGCAAAGTAAAAAATGCAGATTGTCCTGCGATAGATTATACTGAGACTTCATTGCACTTAAGAAAGGACCAGCCAATGGAAGACGACACGTTGAACGTCTAAGACTGAAGATATACGTAAGACCTAGAAAGTCAAAATGAACAAAACTACCAGGAAAAAAAAACCATGGGAGAAGACACTAATATAAGAATGTTAGATACATAGGCTACACAAACAATTGCTTTGACGTGAGTCAACTACCACCAGTGGTTGGGCAGACTCAGAAGACTCCCCGTGGAAAATAAATCAATATGTTCCGCTTTCACTTAAGACAGTTATCGATGTTGCAGCAAAGGTTATCATCCCTCACAGATCATCATGCAGATGATATTTCGAGTAATGATCATAAGTTAACACAAAACTACGAGAGCACGCGCGATTCAACGCTATAAGTGACCATCAAGTATATAAAAATAAGATCCTCTGAACAAGAATTCACGATAGCTAGCAGTCTTATACAGTGTGGACTTCAAACAATAAAATAAAAAGATTCAAATTAGTGTTTATCACTGAAAATTCAACCTCTGACTGATGCTTCGAGTCACTGTTCTCAATAACTGAAACTTAAAGAACAGCGCTCCTAATTACCCGCCCGCCGCGCATAGAGTAATCACATCAAGTCTCAAAACTCAACACCGGAGCTAAGCCCTAGAACACCGATTATTCTACAAGCAGCGACCTCAAAGGCTAAAATAACACGAATGGAGGAGAGACATTACAAGGAAACAAAATACAGCCACAACACTTCACAGAAAACGAAAGAGAGAGAAGGGAGGTGGAAAGAAATTATCAATACAAACCAGTGGAGGAGATTTCCCGGTGAAAAATCGAGTGGAAAACCGATGAATATGTCGGGATAATATCAATCCGCCGGAGGAAATATCAAGCCGTCGGTGCGGTAATTGGGAACAAAGAGACGAGAAAATCGGCGGTTGCTTCGGCAATCGGAAACGTGGTTTACAAATTAAAGAAGAAATTAAAACGACAAGTCGGTGAAAAAGCGAATAGCACAGTAGAATTTCAGCCGTTGATTGAAGGACCCACAAGTGAAGTTGGAGGGCTCCGATGGGCTGTTACGGGTAAAAGTTCGCCTTCCTTAGCTTAGCTGCCATTGATGTAGACGGCTTATTTGCTTCGTATGTAACGGCGTTACGAGTCATGTGACGTGGCTGCATGGAATTATTTCTAAATCCACGTCATCTGTGAGTGAGACAAAATGGGATCGGAGTAGTCACCTACCTACCTAGCTAGGGTCCAAAAGAGAATTATTTAAATGTATTTCGTTAATTTTTAAATTTGACCTCTAAAATTGCTTCTTTTTTTATTTTATTATTATATATATTTTTTTACCATTTTGAGTCTAATAAAATTTCACATTAATTATTCAGATTTTAATGTTTATACCATCAAATGTTTAAATATTTTTCTTTTACCATTTTGAGCCTAATAAAAATTTTCCATTTTAACGTTTATACTCTTAAATTATGTAATTAATGAGCTCGGCACATTTAATATTCCCAAATTTTATGAAAATTTTAATTTGACATGCATAAATACGAACAAGTGCTAAGCCACCTATACTCTAATATTTAAGTCAATATCGAGTTTCAAACAAAGTTTAGAAAATAAAAGTGGGTACTTTCTTCTGAGTCTGCTTGGAACTCTTGAATCATTACTTTCGCGGTTACTTTCTTACTCAGGTATCTAAATGACTTTCAAGATCTTTGTTCATACTCCGGTATCTAAAGACTTTCAAGATGTTTGTTCAACTAGCTTTCAATTTTCCTTCCAAGTCTCAAGAACATCTTCTAGACAACTCCCATCTCTTCACATACAGAGAAAACTAATAGAGTGAAAGAAAATGTCTTGCATTATAACAAGAGTTCTTCCAACAAGAGAAGAAGGAAGAGAAATGACAGACAAAAGAAGAAAAATAATACATCTGGGATTTTGAACAAGATCTTCTGAACATAATCTACATAATCTCTGTTAACTTTCCCAACTGACCTAGGATATGAAAGCGTATAATGTGCTATATATATATATATAAATGGCATACCTCTAAATAGTGTACTCTACATCTGCAAGACTTTCATGCTTCCAAATATACAAAAAGAATGGGACATTTTTCTATACGCCACGAGTGGGACATTTGTTCTAACACGATGAGAAGAAACTTTTAACTCACTTGCTAGCTACTAACCCTGTTTATTGTTGAACGTTTGAGCAAATTGGTAACGAACAATGACATCTGAGACTGAGGCTGGGACCTTGGGATTCTAATGGTAAAGCATATTCCAGGACTCCCTCTTCCTTCTTCTATCATCTGCAATCATTTAGTGTAACTGGCAGCAACCAAATGAAAACCTCCCATAATCGGATTTGTTACTTTGCGAGATCTGTTGAGCTTTAAATCAAAGAGGCGCTCGAACGAGATATACGCTGAGCTTCTTCCAAGTCCTTCAAAAACCTATACCAGCCAAATGTTGACATCATGAAAATAACTACTTGCTCAAAGTGTTTGCAAGGAGATTATATAGTAGGTTCCAATATGGAAACCAATAAACTTGTGGGGTATGAGAGTTTTGCTTCCTGTTCTTTTTTCTTCTTGTTCTTTCCCCTTTTTTTCCTTCTTATTTTTAATTTTTCAAGTGGTTGTAGATTGTGAGTTATGATTACTGCAAGAGTACTTGTAGGACGGTCGATTACTTAATTACTCTTGCAACCACCTCATCCAACTAATCAGATAGAACAGTTACTAATTATAGCAATAAGATTCATATCATAAATAGACACAAACCTACTCACATAGACACAGAGTATGACAATATCCTGGATAGAAATTTTTTAACATGTTTTCCATCTAGAATCCAGATACAAAATTGGAAAGTGATAATAACACATAAAATAGATCATGAAATCAAGTAACCATTATTGCTCACCTCTTAGAATTTAGAACGACAGAACCACCCAGTATAAAACGTATTCCAGAAGTAGTTGCGTTTTGTAAAGCTACCGCACGTGACTCCTCATATGTTGTCCCACCTACAATAAAAATGATGACTTCTTGGGGCCTGTTTCAGAACAAAGTAGCCAAGTTCAATTCATAGATTTTAACAGAAGATTCTTTCTATAAATAGAGAATAAAATTATTTTAATCAAGAAAAACACAAAAAGAAAGCCCTACGATGATCATCTGATTTTCATTTAGAGGTCATGCTAGACTCCCTTTGGTGTGGTGAAGTTACAGCAATTTTATGGAGACACGAGAGAAACAAAACAATATTTGAAGGGGAAAACATGAAAAGGAACAGTTTTGCTATCTAGTATCTTCGCTTCTTAGTCTTCTACTTTCAAAGTTTTTTGCAATTATGGCATGACAAATCTTTGCTAATTGGGAGACCTTTTTTAATCCTTCAGGCACGTGGAGATATCTCATCTCCCCTTTCTTGTACTTCTCTTTTGATAATCAAAATATCGTTTCTTGAAAAAAGAAAAGATATAATCTGATTCCAAACGGCATATCAAATTCTTGGAAAAAAAACTTTAAGCTGGTATAGAAATGGAGTTATATAGCAGCCATCTGAATGTCTTTTCAAACCTTTACCTAATTAACAATCAACATTCATAACAAGTTACCATATGCTACAAACATCAGAATCATAAACAAACAACACAGTTGATCTAAATAAGGAGAGCTTTACGATATTTATCCAGGTAAAAATGGATTTTTTATAAGAAACACAATCACAAACCGTATAACATAGAATTTAATATGCAAAGAAATGAAGGTTCTAGCAAAAAAAAAAAAAAGAAAAAAAAAAAAAAAAAAAAAAAGAAAAGAGAAGAAAAGAAAAGCAACTGAGACACACGCTCACACTAGCAACAAACCTTCCTTGCTGAAAGTGATTCCCAACAAACGGGTAGTCCATATCTCTCAATCGTCCTTTGATTATACTTTCCATGGTCTGGACCAAAAGAGGTTGATGCTGAGTGTACACGTTCTCAACCCCCTAAAGCATAAGTGAAGATAACAGTAAATAAGCAACCTAAATCGCAAACTAGAAGAAATTAAGCAGTTCTTTTATTTCTATGAGCATTGAGCATACCTTTAATCCACGAGCCATGTTACGAGCAATATTCAAAAGATCTCGATTCCCATAAAGATCACCCGTTCTCTTATCAACACCAGCTTGTTTTAAAAGAAACTGGACAAGCTGTCATATCACGTTGTTGAGCACATCAAGATAATTGAAGACTAGCCCACTAGTTATAGCATAGAATATGAACTACATTGTGATAATAGTTTGCCATAGGATGACTAGTTTCTTACAAATAGAGGATGAAGAAACAGAAATCTTTTCAAAACCCAAGAAAAAGATATAATGAATCGGCATAGCATAAATAATACCCATAAAATAGTCCAATGAGTTTAAAATCTTTAAATAGAGAAGTCGAAGTTCAAACAATTGGTTAAAAAAACGCTTAAATGTATACATTACCCCAGTTTTATATTTTGCAGAACAAGAAGCCAGTTTGTTGAAAAGCTGCATCAGTTGAACAGGGCTCTCTTTCTCATACCGTAAGGCATACAGCATAACTAGGCGCACACGGTCTATATCAGAAATATTCTCATTGTTCAAAAGATTTGTTACAGCCTGAAAAGGACGAGAGCAGAGGAAGTGACGCTGAATGTAACAACTAAATCTCATCAATTAACAAACTCATAGCTAATCAATAGTTCCACACTAATGTCGGGAGGCTCAAACCTTTTATAGACCATGGGCACATAAGAAACAAAAACGCAAGTTAGAACTAGGAAATAAAAAACAAGGAACAGATTTTAAACAATTATTTCAATCATAATAACTGCCCGAAAAATTAATGTATCTTATTCTTATAATATAGACAAAAAATAAAAACAAAAGACAATTCAGTCTTTAACTCTCCTATCTTCCTTCCAGAAAAATAGCAGAACCAGATTATAGTCCTCAAGTATCATGTGAAGTAAGTCACAAAATGGATGTCCAAGAAAACATGAAGATGGGACAATGACAAGATTTACAGATAAGAAAAAAAAAAAAAAAATACAACTTATATTCACAAAAGAAAAGCAAAGAAGAAAATATTATAACCTCAAAAGCAGCCATTTGCCCACCATTGCAAGCCAATTCCTGTTCTGTCTGTGAAACTAACATAAGCTTTCTCTCCTCTACTACTTTACTCATTTCTGTCACCAATGTCACGTGCTTTGAAACATTACCGTGCATTTTTCTGTACTCTGGATAATTATCAACAAACTTGGCCATGTCCTCTGAAGAAAACAAAGCATTAAAAACAATTTAGTCCCCTTAGTTGATCCTCCACAAATACCTAGGAAGAATTTCAAACTTTATTTCATACAAACCTATTGTTTGTATGTTCTGGTTACTTTTGGCAATTTGCTGGAAATCATCCACCAACTTCTTGATATTCATCCCAATATCTCCAAAATTCTCATACATGTTAGCTTTATAAAATGAATCTTGCTCTGATGATAGCACAACCTCCTGCATGACCCCAAAGGCCAAGCAAATTGTCAACATGTTTAATTGTCTAATAGAAAATGTATACTAGTGCAGAGTAGAAGAGTGAAATTTATACCTGTTGGTCCTTTGAAGACTTCCCAATGCTTTTCAAGTCCACTTTATTGTCTTGAATACCTAGCAATTCATGAACCATTGCCTAGAAAACATAACTATGAATAACCAACACAAACACGTAGAAACAGTGAAGCAAAAAGGTAATTTTTTTTGTGACCCCAATACCTGATAAGTCCATTGATTCAGCAGGGGGGTCAACGGGTCATCCCTCCTATCAATTACCAGCAACAAAGGGGAAACTTCCATTCTTCGAAAATCAAACAGACCACTTTCTTGCTGATACATAAGTTTCTGGCCCATCAGAAACA